TATATATATATATATATATATATATATATATATATATATATTAAATACATAATATTAAATAAATTGTCAATTAGGCATTGAATATAACATATGAACTACTGGTGAATAAATTTGACAAAGATATTTAAATATATATACTTTCATATAATTCCAGGAAATACATAGAAATCGAGATTTATATTTTGCCATATAGAAATTTTAAATATATATATATATATATATATATTAAATACATAATATTAAATAAATTGTCAATTAGGCATTGAATATAACATATGAACTACTGGTGAATAAATTTGACAAAGATATTTAAATATATATACTTTCATATAATTCCAGGAAATACATAGAAATCGAGATTTATATTTTGCCATATAGAAATTTTAACTTTATAAGTTACATTAAATTAATTATATTTACTTATTTTATTCGATTTTGAGATATATTAATTATATTTTTCAAAATTTTGCAAGCAAATATTTTGTTAATTACTATAGTATTAGTAACGTTCTAATACAAAACTTTCTCATAAAGGGATATTACATGCTCATTATTACAACAATGTTAAAACCTTTATCCCACTACGTCTGATCAATTATATGAATTTTTTTTTTATTAGGTCCAATTAGGAATCAAATTCTCATCCAAATAATAATAAAAAAAAAGTTATTTCGAATATTTAATTTACAAACCAAATCTTTTTAGGACTAACACATTCAGGGCTAAGGGTTTCATTTGGTTGCTTGAAATATGATGAGAAATAAAAAAGCACTTTATTAACTTCGAATCATTTAATAGGATTGTAGTTGTAGATCAGAATGAATTTTAACGTCTAAAAATCTTATAAATAATTAATTTCATTTTTTTTTACGGACAAACATTCAAAAAATAATCATCATTTTCTAAAACATCCTTTTTAATTAGTTAATGTTCCCCAACTTGGATCAAATAAAAAAAGAAAAGACAAGAACCATGAAAAATCAGCAAAAGCCGAGTAGTATTTCTCAGGATAAGGTTTATACCATGGAACTCCAACTAAAAAATAGGAAAAGAAAATGCATGAATAGATGGACCCCAGCTGCCGGCATATCAATCACTAATCAACAATAAACAACCGACAATTTTGGAGCATGATGCCACTTCGATGCAGTTATCATCATCTCGGGGGCGGCGCAAATACTCTCCAATCACTTTTCTTTCGCCTGCACCGGTGGTGAGCCTTTTGTTCTCCAAAATTGTTCTCGCCAACATTTTCCATTCTCTTTGTTTCTGCTCAAAATGCAATTACCCAAATTAGGAAAAGCTTTAGTAGATTAATAAGCAGCACGTTAGCATCACAACATCAAAGTTTCTCAACACAACAATGGCAATTACAAGCTTAAAGATTACCTGCACTGAAAATAGATCACTTTTTAGTTTTTAAGTTTAGGGTTATGAAACAAACTAGAAGATGCGAGCCTCAACCACAATAAATGAAATGGTTGCCAAGTCCACAAACTCCAATCTATGCAAAGGAGTGTTGTTAACCACAAGCTAGCGTCAACAGTAACTCTGTGGGGTTGTACTCCCTTCGAGCGAGTACCATATCGAGCACATGACCCTCCTAATCAAGTTCCTTGGTGGGAACCTACTAAATACTTGCAAGTTACCTTTATAGACATATATAAATATACATTTAGCATACATTACACTTGCTCCAATGAAAAGACTAGTTGTGAAAAACACAAGTGAATTTAGGACAAAGAGGATTTATTATTTTATTGAACGGTATAAAGGGAGAGTAGGCAAGATTTGTAGCCCTATCATTATTGTTGCCTCCTGCATTGAGCTTACCTTGAAGATTATTTATAATTACATTGATTTGACGTAGTGCACTATTTCCAACTACAAATACCAGTATGGGGTGGCAATATAGCCACACTTCTTTCCCTTTAGCCCTTGAGCGCGTGCTATTAACTTGCTAAAAAACCAACTTGAGTCCTTCAAAGCTTGAGGAGTCGACGAGAAAGCTGTTGGCTAAATAACACACCTAAGAAGAAAATGAATTCATAATGAAAGAGAATAAGTGGGTGTCTTTAAATTCTAAATAGTTCTATTTCTATAAAATCCTTAGCAAAAAGTACAACGTTGGGACCGTGTACTACTTGAACAAACTAGTCGACTCCACGGAGCTAGTTAGCTAATTTCACTAAGAAATTAACACGTCTAAACTGACATCTCCACTATCAAAAATAATGTATTAGTACTTACCAAAACTAAATGAAATAAGGAATGGTGTGTGAAGATAACGATACCTACTTGAATGAGACGAAGTGCTTAACGCAACAAATATGACCTTGGTGAGTTCAAACTCAACAAGTTTTACCAAATGAGCATGACCATAGAGATTTTGTAATGAAAATAATGAAACTCGCCTTGAGAGTACTTGTTGATAATACTTCTAACTTGCTTTCTTCATAAAAATAAATTTACTCGCTTAACTCGACGAGCTTAATGAATGAATAAGGGATTGTGTGAATGATGGATAACATTCAATTGTTTATAACACTACTAAATTCTGATAAGAAAAGCCCATTGAAATAAACTCCCTGAGGTTGTTAGCTCGACACTTGATGAAGAAAAACCAAGATACTATCAACACATTGATGATAGATGAATTTGTCATAATGCTATTCTTGTGAGTACATACTTTTGCCTCGACATAGTATTGTCATAGGTGGACTTTTCCTTACAACAGATTTTATAGCCTCACAAGGGTAATCACCTAAAGTACCAATACGTATTACAGATCTTATCGCAAAAGGCATTCCAGGGTTGTAAATGACTTGACTTTGGCTTTCCATCACCTTAAATGAGCCTCGCCTTATGTTATGCATAATGTCATGGTGTGGTAGCCATCGAAACAAGTCAACTTAAAGGAAATCATATGCTATTCATTATGAATTTTATCATAAAGGAGGGAGTCGCCTTTCAGGAAATAGCATTAAGTGAAGGTCTCCTTAAAAAAAAAAAAGGTCTCCTTTGTGTGTAGTTAATGAGTTCCATGTGAATTTTCACTAGAAATTGAGGAAAAGCATGTGCAAATTGGCATGTTATGTGAGATTGAAGAGAATTTTTTATAATCTTTTCTTAGGGTTAATTAGAAAGAAATGATGGTTATGTTTGGCTTCCTAGAATTAATCAAATTTTCTAGGGCAGCTTGATTAAAATAAGAAGGTGACCTCGCCAAACATAAACATAAGTACTTCACTACTTAGCAGTATCGATTCTCTTATAGGACTTGTGTGTCGGGGCTTCAACTCATCTACAAAGAGTAGTCATGCGACTTTTAGGCTCAAATCAACATCAATAGTGTATTAGCCTTTAACCCACTTGGTAAATCTGTTAAATTGTATTAGTTGAGTCATTCTTACTAGTTAGAACTTTTTCTGGTATCTCAAAATTTGTCAATGTTCGACATTGGCCAACTTCGAATGCAACCAGTTAAGTCAAGATGTTGTCATGACCATTATTTCTCTACTTGATCTTCATAACCTATATATAAGTTCCCTGAGTGTCATTGTAAAGTTTTAATGAGTTTGTTTTCATCAACAACATGGGTAAGTCTACTTTTGTTTGAGGAAGCTGGGCAAGTCCCTAAATATTACTTTAATTTTAATTTTCTCAATATCCTTTTTTTTCTCAATATCCATGTTTTACTAGTTTTACAAGAGACTCTCCAAGTTAGGAAAAGAAGGAAAGAAAATAATTTAAATTATTATTATAGCAAAATGTACTTACAACACAACTTCCCTTAGAAAGAGATAAATTTTAGGTAGTCAATGCTCTAAATCCTCGGCACCTCCTTACCTAAATTAGTTTGCAATTTGTATGCCTTGGGACCAACTTGCTTCTTAATTATGTAAAGTCCTTGACATATTAACCAAAGTTTCCCCAGCAGCAACTAGCAAGTTGCTGCATTTACCTTCTTCAGCACTAGATTGCTGAGGTGAAAGACTTTTTCCTTGACATTGGTAATGTAGTATTTGGTCAATTTTCTCTTCACTTAATTCTGCTTGAGAGCAGTTTAGGCTCTAAGTTCTTCTAGGAGGTAGAATGTAGCCTCGATGCCTCCTTGATTTCTCTTCCCCACTACATGAGTTTGACTTCTTTGAAATTGGCTTCTACGACCACTCGCTAATAAAGAAGCTTGTACTAGATTGGTAATAGGGCCTCAGCCCCACCAACAAGTGTGAATGACATTTGACCTTTTGTCAAGGAGGATGTGCCCCTGCCTATCACACCTTCCACCTTCCTCAGCAGATTTAATATTCGCTTATTTTCCGCTTCAACTTGCTGATTGGTCTAAGGGTGATATATGAAGACAAACATGAGAAGAATGCTTTGCAACTGGAAGAATTCATTGATATTCCTATCAATGAATTGCAATTTATTATTAGTGATAGCTAGTACTTGTAGATGCTGTCAAACCATAAGAAAATACCTAAAAACCTCAACAATTGTCTAGCTGCTCACCTTTGCTTCAATACATTTGGAAAAACAATCAATCATCACCAGAATAAACTATCTTTGTCTGCTTGTGGGAGAAAATGAACCAATGAGATTCATTTTTCAAACAGCGAATCACCAAAGGGCTAGTGATATCATTTGGCATTGGGAAGGTTGTAGTTACATGAGAGCAAACCTTTGGCATTGAACGCATCTCTTTGAGAACTCTACCCATCTTTTGGAAGGGTTGGCTAGAAGCAACCCTGTAATAGAATAATGTAGGCAAATTTTCTTCCTCATGAGTGACTCCCTCACACACCAAAATGTAATTCTTTGAGTATTTTTTCTTGATTCACTTTCTTTCACTCACTTAGGGCTCCGAAAATTCGGCCCCGGCCTCCCCCCGTTGCTTTTCTTCGGGGAAGTTTTAACAGAATTAAGTTCCGAGGAAATTTTGAGAAGGCATCAGGCTTTGTAGATAAGAAACTACCCAGAGATTTCGCCCTCATTTTGCGAGGACTTTATGATCTGAGTTTTGGTTTCCTGTAGGCGTAAGCCCCTATAGTTAATTACCCCTCCCGATCATGAGACATAACTTTCGATTAAGGCTAGTCATCAATCAGATACATAGAGATACGTGGTAGATGGCATATAGTAGCAGTGCATACGCATGGTGTTTGGAAGGGTGATATTTAAAATTGGAAATTTCATCATCTTGCACTTAAAGCGGATGGTGAAGGAATGGATGATAGACCTGATCAAGATCCTATGGTTCCGTCGTCCCGGACCATTGTGATCCCTGGTTTGCTTAGTCAAAGGAGCTAGTCGACTCAACCTGATAAAGGATCCTTGTAGGCAGCCATGGGTTGCTTCGTCCAAGGGTACCTTGTAGACCTAGGGGTGTGTTTGTCTAAGAGGATAAATTTGAATCCACACAAGCGAATAGAGGGCTTTGTGCCCTATCAATTATATTTTATTGATTCATATCTCAAAGATTTGATGCCACAAAAAAACATATTGACTCTGGCCAAAACCGCAATTTAGTGGTGCTAGTTCATGGCAAAATCACTCGGCATAGAGAGCCTCGAGTCATAACCGTTTATCTTGCAGTGTCATTTGGCGGCAAAATCTTCGGTCAGAAGACACGTACCACGTCCTTACTATCAGGAGATTATTTGAGAATGGATTCTAGGAATATTTTCGACTAGACATTAGTTCTATGTGAGCTGAAGTAAAATTCAATTTGTCCATCCTAACAAATTGTTGTGGAGGATTGATGGATTTTGCTTTAAGTGTTCGATGGGTGAATTTTTACTTTAAATACTCCAGAATTGGATGATTTTTGGATTTTGAACTTCATGGTATTTGTGTGGCATTATGAATTATTTAGAATTAACCACTCCGGTTGAGATTTGCATTCAACACTGTAATCATTGGGGTGCTTGGGGTCATTTCCATTTGGGAATTGATCCTTGACGACTCTGTCAATTTGTCGACATATGATCGTGTTTGTTGCTAGCTTTACGGCTTTGTTAATAAATTTCCTTTTTTGGAGGCCTTGAAGGTGATGTAAGTAATGCCCCCCCCACCCCCCTCTCCTTTTCCTGGTTTTCCTTTCTTTGGGCTGTTTGATTCCTGCTCCCTGCTTTACCGATTTTCCTTGCTTTAGGCTGTTCGGTTCCTACTCCTTATTTTAATTCTGCCTTTTTCTTCCACCTTTTGGTATGCTGTAGTGGACAGCTGAGCATGGCTTTTGCCCTCCTTTTTTGTCCTATTTATAG